CAATACACACAACATGTATACGGTTTACTGACCCAGGCTAGTGTCATCCAGGGCTCCACTTGAGTTCTCTGATAGATGATAACATTATTAGGGACTGGTGTATTGATCCTTTTTTTGAGCGACAGGGTTGTATGTTTTTAATTGGTGGGTTTTAATTGTAGGGTGTTTTACTTTTATATAGTGTCGATTATTTATAATAAAGTTATTTTTTTACTGTTCATGCGATCTTTGTCATGTTTTAGGAGTTAGTTTTTCTAAAGGGTTTAGCAATAAAAAATGTGAAAGCAGCTCTAACCCCTCACTACTCTATCCATTTAAACCTTTAGTTATATTTTATGTCCCAGTCTATTTAGATTGATGGAGCACTTTGTATCATAAAAGTTGCCATATCATTGCCATGCCATTGGTTACTCCTTGTTTCTCTGTGTGAACTTACTAATATAAACAAAAGTTGGCATAACAGCTTTTTTTTTAGTACTTAGTACTTTTTTAGTTGACAAATTGAAAATTGTAATTGATTTTCATCATTGTTCCATCAATTGTCATAATTCTAATTTTATTTCCATTTAGTTTTTGTCAAAACATTCAGCTTACCAAAATCATAAAATATTTTCGTTGACAAAATTATTACTGCATTTCAGTGGGTGTGTTTAATTTTTTTTTTCTCCTTATTTTAGTTTACCTTTTGGAACACTATTCTTATGTTTATGTTGTTAAAAAATAGCACAATAACATGTTTACATTGATTTAATTTGTCACAAACTTCACAATGCTTTGTACCAGGGACTTAATTTTAGTGTCATCATAAACTGGAAAGCATGGAAATGGAAAAAAGTTGCAGAACTTTAGATACTTTAGGCAGTTTAGATATATTATTGGCATGTCAAAAGGCACATGGTTAAATTCTGAATACTGGCCTGGTCTAGAAAGAAAGGATAAACATCTACTGGTACTGACTTGGTTAAAGGAAACTTAAACCAAAGAAAAAAAAAAACTTATTGCAACTTACCAGTCCTTAGATGCAGGGGCGGACTGATCATTCGAGCATTCGGGCACTGCCGAGGGCCCGGGGTCAGTAGGGGGCCCCATGAAATGCCCCTGGTACCTTTTATAGGCTTTTTTGGGTGTGTTTTGAGTGTGGGCAAGGACACAGGGGCCCCATGATCCCCTATTGCCCGGGGGCCCCTTGAGTTGTCAGTCCACTCCTGCTTAGATGTGACTGCATTAATATTCATTCTTCAGGCTAACAACATTTTCAGCAGATATAGAAAATACCTGTTAATCTTGCCAAAAATGCAGTGTCCTCTTCATTTCTATGAGCTGAACTGGATGTTTTAAAGATGTATCTTCTTTCTGTAAACTAATAATCTCTCTACCCCTGATGTAATGGTGACGAACAAAGGCAGACATGCATGAACTCCAGCCTGAGTGACAACCCACAGATAAAATGGAGGAGTGAGCATAGCCACCCAGGGACAGGAAGTGTGTAATTCACAGGATTACTAGATGGCAAGAAAAGAAACAAAACTAAATAAGAAAATTAATGCAGAAGTATAGATACAAAGTCTGTGACATAATAATTTGGGTTTTTGGGTTTAATTACACATACTGGCACATTGTGGACCATGATTATACGTTTTAACCATAGTAACCAATCAAAATTTGATTCCTCTAACTTCTCTCAGAGGCTAAATGTTTATGTTTGGTTGATATGAGTTACAGAGTGTTATTACACTTTGTAGTGATAAGGTCTAAACCCGACACAACACATTAGCAGATGATCGTATTTCATGTAAGGCACTTGCTAAATGATTTCACATATCCCCAAGAATCACATGTTAAGGTATTTGTTTATAGATAGATGTAAAAGTAGTACTTGACCTGCCAGTAATATCACTTTAGGGGCTTTTAGAAATCTTTGCCAGGTGTTTAGTTGAAGGAAAAATTTATCAAAAATATCCATTATGCTCAAAATGCATTGTTTTTGTGAGATTTGGAACAGGTTAAGGGAGGGATCGACTTTCAAAGGGTTCGTATTCCAAACAAGAACAGTAAAAAGGTTTAAATGCCATGGCTTTCCATATAAAGAATATATTAGTACAACTGAATGATGTATAGGGATGGATAGAATCATTTTATCCACATGTATAAGGATTTGATTTCTTTATGATCAATTCTCTTACAGTTAAATTCTATTGTCTCTTTCATAGTACTGCTCAGCACTGCTCACTATTAGGTTAGGTGAGAAGTGAAGGCAACCATTATGATGTTAAAACCTTTGTTCCGCTAGCAGTGTTACTTTCTTTGATGAAAATATTTTCGTCTACTAAATTAACACTATTTTAGTTGACTAAAATACAACTAAAACTAAAACAATTCAGATGACTGAAATAAGACTAAAACTAAAATTGCATTTTAGTCAAAAGACTATGACTAAACTAAATCGAAATTTGATATCAAAATTGACATTGGTTATATATCACAACAGCTATATCTGTGTCTGTAGTGCACGTTCAAACCTTAACACCATAAATAATAACATGTTATTATATATTTAACGCGATATAATTAATATGGAAATTCTAGAGCAGACTTTCTCAAACTTTTTAACACAGAGAAACTCTTGAAATTACTTTCCGGTCTCAGGGAACCCCTGCTTACATGACTATATCTACAACTCAGGATACATTAGTATGATGGTTATTGGGAAGAATTTCCCTCTTTCAGATAGCTAAAAAGATAACTGGTGTCAAGTGGGAACTTATCGGAGAGGCAAAAATTGCACATTGGTCAAGGAACCCCTAACATTCTTTAGAGGAACCCTGGTTGATAAACCCTATTCTAGAAAAATGCTTAAATAATGCATTACAATTTAACTAAACCCATTATATTTTAGTTGACTAAAATGTCCTGGAGATTTTAGTCGGATAAAATACGACTAAAACTAAAATAATTTAGATTACTAAAATATGACATTTCTGCTTAAACTTTGTGATTTTTAATAGTACTGCTTAGACCTTGAAGAAGGGGACATACCCCGAAAGCTTGTCCTCAAAATTGTATGTTAGTGCAAATAAAAAAAGTATCACGGACAGTACTCAATTAAAATATGACAAAAACTAAAATAGCATTTTGGTCAAAAGACTATGACTAAAACTAAAATGCAATTTGACATCAACATTAACACTGTCTCCTAGTTTGCAATATTCACGTGTTATTGGGCAGCAGGTACTACCTTCACTGACTGTTAAAATAACTTTATTACATATTTAAGAGTGCCAGCCTATGAATTTCACTTTTAACAGATGCATAACTTAAAGAGAAGTATGGCAAAACCCTTTTCTGGCCACACTTATAGTTAGGGTCAAAGAAGTACAATTTACTATTGCACAACTATAACCCAGAGTCAGTTGATAGCAAGCTATTGCCTGCTATCAGTTGTCGAGGCAAAACTGCTCCTGGATTGGGAAGGATCCTAACAATATTTTAGAATTCACCCATCTACCTGATTGACAGCTGGTTCCACCTTTTAGCCCAGCCCGCTCCATCCTCAGCGTGGAAGAGCACAGCAGAGAGCGTTGACTAATGCAGGCCATAGACGGGGAGAAAACCGTCCGGTTTTCAATAGGCCAAAGTTACCACCAACAGTAAAAAAAATTGTCCGATTTTCTTCCCGTCTACGGCCGGGCATTTAATTACTCCTGTCCCTGCAGAGAGCCCCGCTATTATATTTGACATTAAAAAGTATTGCGGTTGCAACATTGTATCTATTTGTATCCATTTCGGATACAGATGTTTTTTTTCGGATACAAATAGATACATCGTTGCAACCGCAATACTTTTTCATGTCAAATAAAATAGCGGACTGGAATTCTTCTTCTTTCTCTTCTTCTTCTTTCTCTTCTTCTTCTTCTTCTATTTCTTTCTCTTCTTCTTCTTCTTTCTCTTCTTCTTCTTTCTCCTCTTCTTCTTTCTCTTCTTCTTCTTCCTCTTCTTTTTTTTTTTCTTCTTCTACTTCCTCTTATTTTCTTCTTCTTTTTCTTCTTCTTCTGCTTCTTCTTCTTTTTCTGCTTCTGCTTTTTATTTTTTTTCTTCTTCTTTTTCTTGCAGGTCACGGCTCATGTGCAGATTTTTTATCGGTAAAACGATTGGCCGATTAGCCCATCATTGCCGCGAAAATCGGCCGATCGGCAAAATCGGCCGAATTTTTTCCAACTTTACCGATCAAAAAAATCTGACAAAATCCAGAAAAACAGCCAACCAATTAACTCATTAACGGTGCGAAAATCGGGCGATTTTTTTTTCGGATGAAAAATCGGCCGATTATCGGCCCATCTATGGCCTGCATAACAGTCACTTTTTTCCGTTCCAAGTAGACTGAGAGCTGACTGATCAGTGGTCTTGTGTTTGCTCAGCTCTCGGTCTTACAGTTGGTGTTGGAAAGCTGCAGTGCTACATTGATGCTGCAGAATAGAGGCTAATATGTTTGTGTATTTGTTTGTAATTCCAAACTTTTCCTTTAACCACTTGCCCTCCAGAGGATTTACCTCCCTTCCTGACCAGGCCATTTTTTGTGATACATTGCTGAAATGCTGACAATTGTGCGGTCATGCACCCAAGTTAAATCTACGTCCTTTTTTCCCACAAATAGAGCTTTCTTTTGTGGGTATTTGATCGCCTATGCGGTTTTTATTTTTTGCGCTATAAACAATAAAAGACCAGCAATTTTGAGAAAAAAAACAATATTTTTGACTTTTTGCTATTAAACATATCCAGTAAAAAAATTTTAAAAATCAAATGTTGTCATAAACTTAGGCCAAAATGTATTCTGCTACATGTCTTTGCTGAATTTTTGTTTTACTAGTAATGGCAGCGATCAGTGACTTATAGCAGGACTGCAGGACTGACACTGGCACTGGGGGGAACTGACTTGGTGTCACTGACATCCCCAGTGACACCAATACAGTGATCAGTGCTAATAAAAAGCACTGACACTGTACTAATGGCACTGGGCAGGAAGGGGTTAACATCTGGGGCGATCAAAGGGTTAACTGTGTGCTGCTTCACTACTTGGGCTGTGTGTGTGCTTCACTGTAGCATACTGCTTTGAATGGCTATGCTATGCAAAGCCATACAAAGAGTGTGCAGGAGCTGACAGGGGAGAGATCTGTGTTGTTCATACACAGGTCTCTCCCCTGTCAGAGATACTCGGCGATCACTGGATGCCGGTGAGTAATCCCCAGCCAGCCTCCGGTGATTGACAGCCGAGGCCGCGAATGGCTAGCGTGTCCCCTACCCAGAACTGCAAAATCACATATATATATATATATATATATATATATATATATATATATATATATACGTATATATATGTGTGTGATTTTGCACACCTGTGTCTCCCTGTAGCATGGAACTGGTTAAGAATTGCAGAATCCAGAATTACATTTCCTGCTCTCCTAGTGCTATTTTAGATTAGCGGAGGGAGGAATTTTTGATTTGAGCTGTAATCTTGTAGTAAATCTGTTGCACAATCTATCTAAGTGCTTCTTCTTAGCATTGTCCTGCTATGCAAAAGAATGAATAAATGTCTTCCAATGAATGGGTGGCCAAAAAATTGTCCTTGCACAGATGCCATTTTGCTACTTTTGACCACCACTGTTTTTTTTAGCATGTATTATTCAAATATCATCAGTAACTGAAACAACATTGGTCTATGTTACCTGTATCAGCCAATCACAGCTTTCCTTTTCTTGTCCTAATGCAATACAGCATTGCAACAGGGATTGTTGATCCAGGGACTATCCAATTGACTTCTGGAGGATAGGGAAGGAATTTATATTTCCCTTTCTGGAACAAATTGGGTAATGCCTTAAATAGGGGTTACTTTGTCTTACTCTGAATCGACTGTATGTATAGAATTCTGTAAATTGAAGCTTTCTATTTTTTTATTCTGTTTATTTATTTTTTCTATTGGTTGTACTATATGGGCTTGTTTCTTTTTTTCAGTCTATGTAATTATGGTAGAATGAAAAGAAAAATCTGTCTTCCCCCATACATACTGTCTTACCTGCAGGCGATACTTAGTGTGTCATTCAAGCTGATCACAAGTTCGTCAGTTGCGATGTCAAGAACAGGCGGTGGTGTCAAAAAATATCCGCTTACCAGATCTGAGAAGAAGCATAAAAAGAAAACATAATAGTCAAACAAACACATCTCTCAAATGAAGCTTATATCTGCTAATTGAACAGCTACGTCCTCACCAGTACAACTGCTCGCCAACTCCCATCTGTGTCAACATCTTTAAGAAAGTTAAACAAAATTGTGTTCTTATTTAGGCAGCAATCCTGGGGAATGTTTCACGTCAAAAATACCACCATGTCACAGGCTCTGAACATTGCATTTAATATAGTCCGATGCTAATGACTCTTGTTGGAAAGCCTAATAGACATTGTATGTTGGATGGAGGAGGGAATTATTCCATCCATTATATTTGATTGCTCTGTAGAAAAGTAATTTTCTTGTCTACCAAATCAAGGCACCTAGGCTGTGTTTTTATTTCTTTTCCCAGGCTCTTTTGAATATGTGTCATTTTGTGTGATTTTCGCTAAATGAACCAGAGAGAAAACTTTCAACACCAACGCCATTTGAATCCAGTGATTGAAAACAGAGGTGTAAAGTAGATTAATGATGTACTTGCAGCCCAATGCAATAGACCTGCTGTATTAAAGTGGACCTGTCTGCCCATCCATTGATTTTCAGATATTTAGTCTGAGAGCAAGTCTTTATTGATGTTGCATGGCTATATTTATACCAAGATACTTTTAAAATTTACACTCCCTTACACTTAAAACTGATCAATGTGTATCGTGAATGCATAGCTTACGTGCCCTGGGCTTTGGATTTTTATTCAGCTAGCCTATGTTCATATCCTTAAGTGCATCTAGTGCCCATGTCAGTCTGCAGGCATTTTCCAAACTCTCACTGGACAAAGCAGTATAGTTCAGTGATGTAGTTTTTGGGTCAATACAAGGCAAACCTATGCCCACTGAATGCTAAAGATGGGGTGCTTGGGAGATTCTTAGGGGTGTCAAGACTTCAAAGCTGAACTGTAGCCAGGCTCTGGAAATACAAATATTTACATAACTAATTCTTAACAAGCAGTAAATAAACTTTAAAGCAAACAGAAAAAAGAAAGACCGCACTCTCTATATATGAAGGAAATAAAAATATGTGTAATAAACAAACTCAAACTAAAAAGCAGCACGTCAATCAGTCCATAAAAATAGACTGAGATACACAAACAAAAAATGGACCGTGCCCTTGTTCATCTGAAAATAACCTACTCCCAAATAAATTATGTGCAAAACAGTATATAACAATCCCCAATGTCAATAAATAAATATAAAAATATAAGCACTATATATTAGCACTAAAGTGCCTGATTAAAACACAAACAAAGTGCAAAGTAATATTGCAAAATATTCATGTAAACATAGCTTAATATATAACAAGTGTCCAGAAAAAGTGCTCTGTGCTCATAATCCATAGATGTGCCATGCAGTGATGAAAGACACCAAAACGACAAGTGCTCTTCCTTCTCCCAAATGAAATCACACCACACTCACCAGACTGAAATTACTTCTTTTCACAAAGAAGGTCAGATGCGTATAGGGCAGGGGTGGGCAACTGTGGCCCTCCAGCTGTTGGCGAACTATAAATCCCATCATGTCTCTGCTTTTGGGAGTCATGCTTGTAACTGTCAGTTTTGCAATGCCTCATGGGACTTGTAGTTCTACAACAGCTGGAGGGCCACAGTTGCCCACCCCTGGTATAGGGTATTCTAATTGGACTATATACTCCAGCCAATACACCAAAAACTTGAAAATGGATGGTTTTATAACCCCATCGGTAATCCTTTCTTTTCAGAGACTCTGCATAAACTCCCTCATAGAGGGGAAAAAAAGGGACCTCTCATGGTGTAGTAATTCTCATTTATTAAGAAAAAAACTTTAAAAATGCACTTACATAAGTAAAAACTTTTCAGCAAATACAAATCTGCATAGAAACCTATGGAACGCCGATGTGCTTTCCACTTGCGTTCCAGTGCCTGGAAGTGACGTATCAAGATAGTCCCTCCCAAATCGTTTCGTCAGCAGCATCTGATGTCATCAGGGGTCCAGGGTTAGTGCTAATATATAGTGCTTATATTTTTGTATTTATTTATTGCCTTTGGGGATTGTTATATATTGTTTTGCACATAGTTTATGTGGGAGTAGGTTATTTTCACATTTTCACATGAGCAAAAGTGTGGTCAACTTTTTGTTTGTGAAACTTTAAAGCAGTGATGGGAAACCTTTTAGAGACCAAGTGCCCAAACTGCAACCCAAAACCCACTTATTTATCGCAAAGTGCCAACATTGCAATTAAACCTGAATACTGAGGTTTTAGTTTCAAAAAAACAACCCATACATTAACATTAGAGATGAGCGAATTATTCAAAAATTCGATTCGGCTGATTCGCCGAATTTGTGGAATAAATTTGATTCGATGCGAATTTATTCGCTGCGAATTTAACTTATAAAAAGGGTTTCTAGGCTTCAGAGAGCCTTTATATTAGTGCAGAACACTGTACCTTTAATTTAAATGCCCTTGGAGTCTGCTGGGGAAGAGAAATAATACTGTCAGTCAGTATGACATGCAGATGAGTGCCGTCGATCTTAGAATCACCGCACACTTCACTCATTTGGCCAGTCACGGGGCCAAAACCAGAGTGTGGAGCCACAGTGTGGCGGTGGAGGCAGCAGCAATGGGAGGCCATACAGCACCCTATGACAAAATGGAACCCACCAGCAGTGTGAGGAGACCTGAAAGTGGCACATGGCAGAGTGTGGCGATGGAGACAGCAGCAATGGGAGGCCGTACAGGGACCCATGACACACTCTGGACCTGGCAGCAGCATGAGGAGGCGGTACAGGGGCCCATGGCAAGAAGAAGAAGAAGAAGAAGAAGAGGATGAGGATGAAGAAGAAGCAGAAGAAGAAGAAGAAGAAGAAGTAGGATGAGGATGAAGAAGAAGAAGTAGGATGAGGATGAAGAAGAAGAAGTAGGATCAGGATGAAGAAGAAGAAGAAGAAGTAGGATGAGGATGAAGAAGAAGAAGAAGAAGATGAGGATGAAGAAGAAGAAGAAGAAGAAGAAGTAGGATGAGGATGAAGAAGAAGAAGAAGAAGTAGGATGAGGATGAAGAAGAAGAAGAAGTAGGATGAGGATGAAGAAGAAGAAGAAGAAGAAGAAGAAGTAGGATGAGGATGAAGAAGAAGAAGAAGAAGAAGAAGTAGGATGAGGATGAAGAAGAAGAAGAAGAAGAAGTAGGATGAGGATGATGAAGAAGAAGAATTAGGATGAGGATGAAGAAGAAAGAAGAAGAAGAAGTAGGATGAGGATGAAGAAGAAGAAGAAGAAGTAGGATGAGGATGAAAGAAGAAGAAGAAGTAGAAGAGGATGAAGAAGAAGAAGAAGAAGAAGAAGTAGGATGAGGATGATGAAGAAGAAGAAGAAGTAGGATGAGAGATGAAGAAGAAGAAGAAGAAGAAGAAGAAGAAGAGGATGAGGATGAAGAAGAAGAAGAAGAAGAAGAAGTAGGATGAGGATGAAGAAGAAGAAGAAGAAGAAGAAGTAGGATGAGGATGAAGAAGAAGAAGAAGAAGAAGTAGGATGAGGATGAAGAAGAAGAAGAAGAAGAAGAAGAAGAAGTAGGATGAGGATGAAGAAGAAGGGGAAGAAGAAGAAGTAGGATGAGGATGATGAAGAAGAAGAAGAAGAAGAAGAAGTAGGATGAGGATGAAGAAGAAGAAGAAGAAGGATGAGGATGAAGAAGAAGTAGGATGAGGATGAAGAAGAAGAAGAAGAAGAAGAAGTAGGATGAGGATGAAGAAGAAGAAGAAGAGAAGAAGAGTAGGATGAGGATGAAGAAGAAGAAGTAGGATGAGGATGAAGAAGAAGAAGAAGTAGGATGAGGATGAAAGAAGAAGAAGAAGAAGTAGGATGAGGATGAAGAAGAAGAAGAAAGAAAAAGAAGAAGAAGTAGGATGAGGATGAAGAAGAAGAAGAAGAAGTAGGATGAGGA